AGGCGCGGGGGGTGGGGGGGGGCCGGTGGGGGGGGGGGCGGCCGGGGGGGTCGGAGGGGATGCGGGAGGTTCGTCCACGTCTTGCGAGTATCGTTGCAAACTGCGAGATTCGTATCCCTCCCTGACTCCGTTGCTTCCGCTTTGCTTGTGGTGCGTTGGCTGCCCGCACGGCTTGGTGGTACGTAGGTGTCTGTGTGTTGTGAACCTTTTTCGCACCCTATGTCGCCAACCGTGCCAATAGGAGGTGCGGGAGAATACCGCCGTTCCATGGCTGTGGTCAGTATGTTTACGTTATTATTGTTATTAAATTCCATAGTAAAGTCGTCATTAATGCTGCCAATGAGAATATAATTTATCTTCTTGGTTCTTTCGGTAAAATCACGTAGAAGGGAAGTAATAAAATAATAAAAATAATAAAATAATAAAATAATTCTCACCGGTGAGAATTATTTTATTATGTTAAAATAATTCTCACCGGTGAGAATTATTTTATTATGTTTTATTTGTATTATTTTATTACTTCCCTTCTACGTGACTTTACCGAAAGAACCAACAAGATGAATCCCTGCAGTCACGAAAGCTTTAAATCGATAAATGAATATAATTTTATTACCGCTTTATTGTTTTTCTACCTTGACCTTGACATACGGCGTGTGAGGGAGGTCGCCGTCCTTCCGACGTTTGTTCACTCCCCGCTAATGTGACCGGAGTCGCTCAGAGTTTTATCTCATGCAACCAATTGCGCGAGTCGTCCTGAACTCCGGTAGGCGGGGGGGGAGAGATGGATGAGGTGGTCCCAGGCCTGTCCCCCTGCCACACCGGGAAGTTTGCCAGCCGTGCCAATAAACATATTTTTTATACCAGGTAAGGCCCACTGAGCTATATAGCTCTGTTTCAGAAGCGGCCTTGCCATCACCAATGATCGCTCAGTAGCAGCCAAATGTAACCTGTAAAAGGAATTTTTTTGTGTGTCTATCTGTGTGTGGCCGACACTTGCGAGGGATTTGGCTCGCGAACCGTGGGGTTGACGCTTAAAAAAAGTACCCAGGCAGCACGGCATAAGCCACGTGGTCAGCCAGCGCTTTAAAGTAGTTTAATTAGCAATTTAGTGCTGTTTTAGTTTATATATCTATTACGTCGCCCCTCCGAGCGCGCCCCAAAGCACGCATCTGCGCGTGCACGCCCCTACCAAGTCACACGCGTTCGGTGGGGAGGAGGGGGCAATTCTCATCCGTGTGGACACTGCGCAAGGTAACACACGCAGATATACAGCTCCCTTCAAACATTTATTACAATGACTGTTTGCTCGTTACTATTCCTGTTGCCTCTTATTCCCCACAAACTTTGCGCTTGCCACCACTTCTTTACGTGAGGGATTGACACTTGTGCACACGTTTTCTCTTTTAGAATAGGTACCTTTATAAATATCGCTGTTCTGCTCACAAAAAAAACACGTTTGAGGGGAAGAAAAGCCTATTTCTGTACTCTTGAGGCGTTAACGCCGGGTACTTCCCACTAGTACTTTATAAACGCACATTGATTCTAAATGCAGAGGGGAAAAACTGGAAGACCCGGAGAAAAATCCACGCGGCCATGGGGAGAGAGAGAGAGACGCAAACTCCAAAATATACAGCAGGCGTCAGGGTCGGGATCGAGCCTATGACCTCCTGCATATCAGGCGAGGCAGTTAACATCTCGCCACTGCGGCGTGCCCCCCCCCTGCCGTTTTGTTTCGCCCAGTGGAGAAGAAGCCGATGGACAAGGAGGGCTTTGTCAAGCTGCTGGCCGACGAGGAGGAAGAGCGGAAAAAGAAGAAAACTAAAAAAAGAAAACCCCGCAAGAGGCGTGCAAAACTGTCGGGTAAGTGTTGTTTTTTTCTCTCCTCCGCGGTTTTGGTATTCGACAACAACGTCCGACGTTTTGCTCCCGCGCCCCGCGAGAGCTGTATCGCCTCGCATCGTCTCGTTCCCCCCCCCCCCCCCCGTCTCTCTCACTCGAATTGTCAATCTCATTCTCTCCGTTGGCTCACATTTCCACGTGGCCTTCCGAAAATGCCCACGCAATGATTCATGAATAATCAATGACAACAACGACAACAATAACTATACTTGCATTTCATAATAATTTTGATAATTCTAATGTATAATGCGCGTTCCGTCCTTGTGTGAAGATTGAAACACAACAAGCGACGTACCTGGCACAGTAGTGCGTACGCTGCGCTGCAAACACGGGCAGTCGGGAAGCAATACAAGGCCTCTGATTGGTGCCCCAGATCTGGGAGAGACTACATGGGGGTGGATGACGGAGAAAGGGGGGGCACAGGGGGGGGGCACAGGGGGGGGGGCACAGGGGGGGGGGCACAGGGGGGGGGCACAGGGGGGGGGGCACAGGGGGGGGGGCACAGGGGGGGGGCACAGGGGGGGGGGCACAGGGGGGGGGGCACAGGGGGGGGGGCACAGGGGGGGGCACAGGGGGGGGGCACAGGGGGGGGGCACAGGGGGGGGGCACAGGGGGGGGGCACAGGGGGGGGGGCACAGGGGGGGGGCACAGGGGGGGGGGCACAGTGGGGGGGGTGCGGGGCCTGGAAAAGGATTGGCTGGAGACAGAGATTTGAAATCATTGGAGGAAAGATGCAAGCGCAAAGGGCGGGGAAACGAAGGTTTGCTTCACAGGGTAAATGGTTGAAAGAGAGAAGACAAAGCTCGTGCCTGAAGTCGGTGGTCGTGCGGCCAAATGAAGGATGTTAATAAGTATAACCCGTAAAAACAAAGTTTTTCACTATAAATCCTTTATATGCGTGGTGGCTAGAGTCCTTTTGTCCTCTGGCTTGAGATGGCTGCCACCTATGGGTCAGATGATTGCATGGCAGCATTAAGCAATTGGTAATTAAATATTGTATTTTTGTCCTAAAAAGTGTAAAATTTTGGAAACATTTTTTCACGAACATTAATTGTCACGCACAACGAGTCTGTGTGGAAAATGTCAGCTCGATTGGATCACGGGAAGTGGGTTAAAAAACGACCTAAAGATTTGCACGGTCCTAAGCAAGCAAGCAAGCAAGTGAACTTAATATAAAGGATTTAAAAACTTGACGAAACATGTGTTGGTCGTCATTCCATCCCAGGATCCCAATGCCCGCCCAATGCACGGAGAGCCAGGAAACTAAAAGTTACAGAACCAAGGCCACCGACGAAACTAAAGAGGGGTGAGGCCAGTTTGTAGAGATGCGCTTGCTTGCTTGCAGCAGAATCTCATCTCAAACATTGAACGGGGTGCACCCCTCCAACCCCTACCCCTCCAATCGGCAGCTGTCCCTGCGCAGCAGCAGAAAGCTGACTCTCAGCTCCTGGCCTGCATGCGGAGCATCGGTCTCGCGACTCTCCTTTTAGAATGATCCGGAGTCGTTTTTTTTGCAACAGCCGGGGGGGTCGGGGGGGGGGTGAGGGGGGCGATGACCACGATTGTGTTTTTCGTGATCGCAATTTAAGTAATCTGCAGTGTAATCTTCCGAATCCTGAAAAAAATGGGGCCAGTCACACCCGCACACACACACACACGTCGGGCTGCTCTTGCGAATGACGTGGCAGGAATTCTTTGTGTCCGCTGTGTGGTTCGTACATACCGCTGTGTGGTTCATAAACCAACACGCGAACTCCGGTCATCCTCGCAGCAGCAACAGCAGCTGCGGCTTGTGGCTAATCAAAGACGGTGGTCACCGCATCGCGCGGCGCTTTCAGACGCGCTTCTGCGGCCGTCTGGAACACTCTTCCTTCCGATATTAGGAAGCCACTTTAGCTGTGCAATTTTAAATCATCATCTAGATCGAAAAACTAATTTCTTCAAGAACTGCTTGTTGTGTTTTAGTTTGTTGTCCTTGCCCCGCATCCTCCGATTAGCACGGTTGGCTACGCACGATGCGAAAGAAGTTCAACGTACATACAGGTGTAGTGGCATAGCGCCGGCTGCTGGCAAAAAGTGGAATCTGCGGCGTATGGCAGTACTGACGTCAGCAGGCCACGATAGACACGAGCGGGGGACATCTTGGGGAAAGGTCACAGAAGGGGCCCATCGGGAAGCCCCAGGAACCAGAGGTCGCAAACCGGTTTTGATTCCTTACCCGTACCCGTACCCGGCCGCACCAGGGTTGCAAACGGATACCCTACCCGAGACCCGGCCAGGGTATCGGGTAGGGTACGGGTACGGGTACCCGATTGCGACCTCTGGGATGAAGCCATGTTGCAGGCGTGGGTGGGTTGATTATAGGAACTTGAATTGTGAGAAGAGACAAGACGTTGGGAAATGAGTGACAAACGGTTACTCACCAGTGACTCACGGCCTACCCATACCCGTACCCGTACCCGGTGGCACCAGGGTCGCAAACGGGTACCCACACCCGGCCGGGTATGGGTAGCCGGGTATTGGGTAGGGTACGGGTATCGGGTACCCGATTGCGACCTCTGCCGGAAACCCGCTGGTAGGTTCCGGAAAGGGGGCGTGGCCGGGGGCGGAGCGAGGCCGCGCTGGGAGTATAAGAGGGATCCCTGTGGGGGACCACGGGGCTGTTGTTGGAAGTGGGATCCCCGTCGTACTACTCAAGATCGTCATCGTCACCATCTCGTCGTCGTCTTCACTATCCCGGGGCGCCGCTAGTCAGACGGCCTACCAACTGTCCTGACTAAGTAGTGCCGCCGACAATAGACGGTCTTCATTATAATAGTGTGCACCCACGCAGGGAGTGTGTTATCCCAATGGTGCTTGCTAAATAAAGAAGTGCCTCCGAGTCTTATTGTCTCCGAGTTGAGTCACTACACATACAACACACCCCCAGTGACGTAACAGCTCCCCTCTCGCCACCGACGCTCGTGCCCCAGATGACGACGAGGAGGAGGAGGAGGGTGGTTTGAGCGGCGTCGAGCACGACGGCGACAACGGCGGCGAGGACCCAGCGTGCGACGAGGGCGGCGGGAAAAAGACGAAGCGGGAGAGGCGGAGAGGCGCGAGGGAGGCAACGGCGGCGGCGGCGGCGGCGGAAGTTGGCAGCGCCGCTCCGTCCGGAACGCCGGCGGCGAAGAGGAAGAGGAGGAGGAAGACGAGCAAACGGAAAGATGGAGACGTCTCTGGACAGGCGGCGAGCGGCGATGGCGTGGATCAGCCGCTTGCTCCGGAGGGCGGCTCGGTCGGCGCGGGGGGTGGTGATGACGACGCTGCCTCCTCGGAAACGGTTCCTGGAAGGTGAGCGACACGTGACCCCCACCCCCCACCTCCCACCCCGACCACCCCGAAAGACAAAGATCCCCCGTATAGCCTTTGACAGACTGTTGGGGCAAGTGCTGTTGGCGAGTTGCACCTATGAAGGCCGGCACGGCACAAGGTGGGGTGAGTAGCCAACACCACACCCAGTGGTGATGTATACGCACACCACAGCAGGGTACTCATTTGAGGCTGAGTCGACCTAGGGGAGGCCCAGGGCCGGTTCAGACAGTCGTCACTGGTGTTGGCCGCGAGTGGGAATCGAACTCGGGTCGCCAGGTTTCGTAGCACGCACACATGCGAGAAGGGCGATGAGCGTCGTGCGTGCTGTTGCTGCTGCTGCTGGTGCTGGTGCTGCTGCTGGTGCTGTTGCTGCTGGTGCTGCTGTTATTGCTGGTACTGCGACAGGGCCCTTGCACCCTTGCGGCCATTGCAGCCGGAGGGGGTGAATCATTTGCACCGTTCCATCGCGCCGGTGGATTTTTGCGCCTAGGGGCTGCGAGGTTCGTGCGGGGGTCGCCGAGAAGAAGACGAGGAAGAGGCGGCGGAGACGGAACGACGAGGAGAAGGAGGCGGAGCAGAAGGAGACGGAAGAAGCGCCGGACGGGAAGGCGGCGCAGGGTAAGGAGTCGCGGAGCGCCGCGGTGGCACCGCGTAGGGTTGGCATGGGCCGTGGCTCGAGGCCTGGACTCCAGCCCCCTCGCGGTCCAATTTCCCCACTCCAGTCCTCCTGAAGACGCGCCCAATACACACCGTGCATGGTACGCACCGTGGTGCCGAGATGTTAACTACCTCCCCTGGTACACAGGAGGTCGTGGGTTCGATCCCAACCCAGACGCCTGCTGTATATTTTTGCGGTGTCTCTCTCCCCCCGGTCCCGTGGATTTTTTTCCACATTTAGAATTGACGTCACACGTTTAGAGTATTTTGCTGGTGCTATGAATTTCCACGTGATGATGATAAGCTCACTAAATTGAGCTATCATTTGTGATAGCCAGGTCGCTTCTAATAAAGAGCTACCTAGCCCAGTGGGGCCTTACCACGGAGAGAGAGAGACACGCAAACTCCAAATATACAGCAGGCATCTGGGTTGGGATCGAACCCACGTGCCTCATGTACACCAGGCGAGGTAGTTAACATCTCATAGCCACTGTGGCACCCCACACCTCTCTCTCTCTCTTGCTCACGTTCTCTGGGACCCAGAGAAAAATCCACGCGACCACGAGGAAAGAGAGAGAGAGACACCACAAACTCGATGGGTGGATCAAAACCCTTGCTTGTCCAAGCTCTGCGGTCCTACGCATTGGGATGCTTGGCCAGCTCCATCGGTGACTGATTTGAACGCTCCGTGGGAGGAAACCGGAGAATCCCGTAGAAAATCTCACACGAGCCGGGGTGGGGGGGTGATGATACTCCATCCCCGTATGGATGGAAACTGATGACGATAAGTCCAATTCCACTGGCTGTGCTGCCATCAGACCCTGATGACGCCTAGAGGAAAGGGGAGAGGAAGCTTCACGAATTCGTGCAATCCACCAGCCCTTGCTACAGTGCCGTATATTCTGAACTTCTTACGCACCGTACATGGCCAACCGTTATAATTGGAGGTGCGGTGTATGTATGTGTGTACGTTGAGCTTCTTTCGCACCATACGAAGCCACCCATGCGAATCGTAGCTGTGGGTGTGTACCGTATGTTGAACTTCTTTCACACCATACGAAGCCGACCGTGCTAACGGGAGGTGCGGGGTTTTCACGCGAGCGTTGCAGGATTACGGCTCTACGCCCGGGTCAGATGCAGTTGCACGGCTTGCACGCCCGACCGACGGCTACGCGAGTAGCCCAGCGACAGCGGCAGCCGCGTCTCTTCTCAGCGTCTAGGGAGGCTCCCAATTGGCACGTCGCTTGAAACGACGTCGGCGAACCCGCGTCGTCGCAAACCCACGTGGTTGGTTCCCTTTGTCCTTTTTACTTTTCCTAGAAAAGAAAAAAGTCAGGAAATCGAAGAAGATAAAAGTCAAAAACGATCACGGCGACCGTGATGGAGACGGCCAGGAGGAGCCTGCCCCGGACTTCACTTGGTACGAGAAAGAGAATGGGTGCGTACCACGCACCATGCATCCTGGGCACTTCCTAGCAGTCCAGATTGTAAGACGCACCAAATAAAGTTATACAGACTCGCACAGAAACCCACAAACTCATACAGAGAGCCATAGACTCATACAGAGAGCCACAGACTCGCACAGAGACGCATAGACTCGCACAGAGACCCACAAACTCATACATAGAGCCATAGACTCATACAGAGAGCCACAGACTCGCACAGAGACGCATAGACTCGCACAGAGACGCATAGACTCGCACAGAGACCCACAGACGCATACAGAGAGCCACAGACGCATACAGAGAACCACAGACTCGCACAGAGACGCATAGACTCGCACAGAGACCCACAAACTCATACAGAGAGCCATAGACTCATACAGAGAGCCATAGACTCATACAGAGAGCCACATACTCGCACAGAGACCCACAGACGCATACAGAGAGCCACAGACTCATACAGAGAACCACAGACTCGCACAGAGACCCACGGACTCGCACAGAGACCCACAGACGCATACAGAGACCCACATAGACTCATACAGAGACCCACATAGACTCGCACAGAGACCCACAGACTGGCACAGAGACCCACAGACTCACACAGAGACCCACAGACTCGTATAGAGACCCACATAGACTCACAAAAACCCACAGACTCGCACAGAGACCCACAGACTCACACAGAGACCCACAGACACGCACAGAGACCCACAGACTCGCACAGAGACCCATAGACTCACACAGAGACCCACAGACTCACACAGAGACACACATAGACCCACACAGAGACCCACAGACTCGCACAGAGACCCACAGACTCGCACAAAGACCCACAGACTCGCACAGAGACCCACAGACTCGCACAGAGACACACATAGACCCACACAGAGAACCACAGACTCGCACAGAGACCCACAGACTCGCACAAAGACCCACAGACTCGCACAGAGACCCACAGACTCATACAGAGACCCACATAGACTCACAAAGACCCACAGACTCGCACAGAGACGCACAGAGATGCACAGACTCACACAGAAACCCACAGCCTTGCCGCTTCCCTCCGACGTTGACTAATTTGTGGCACCCACCTGGAGCAGAGACCCTGGAGCAGCGGAGGAACAGCCGAGCACGGATCCAGGAGCTGAGGTGGCAGAACCCCTGTCTGTGGGGACCGCGGTCGGGCCGAGGAGGGGTGGACGGGGAGCCCGGGGTGGGAGGGGAAGCCGAGGGAGAGGAGGGAGAGGAGGGAGAGGAGGAAGAGGAGGGAGAGGAGGAGGGAAGGGGAAGGATGTGGCGAGAATTGTGACAGATGCAGTACCCAGGGAGAGCTGCTCAACCCCAGGTGAATTTGGTGGTAGCCATCTTGTTTTGTGTAGATCGTCAAGGATGTTCAACATCTTATGAACTCCATAAGAGGTTTTTTTGGGTTAGATCGCGTAAATATATAAAAGTGTCGTTAAACCCGCCACCAACCCGACACAGCAAATTAGTAAGGTTTGTCACGAAAACGGAACGTGCCAATTCGTTACTATGATATTGGTCGCGAAAGCCTACGTGTAAATCTTGTAAACTACGAAATTTTAAAATGTATTTTACCAGGTAAGGCCCCGTGGAAATTTATAGCAGCCAAATAGTCTATAAACACGTGACGTCGATTCTAATCGTGGAGGGACAAACTGGAGAACCTGGAGAAAAATCCACGCGACCACGGGGAGAGAGACATGCAAATATACAAGCATCAGGGTCGGGATTGAAACTGTGACCTCCTGCATACCAGGCGAGGTAGTTAACATTTCACCACCGCATCGCGACCCGTGAAACCACGATTATAACTCAGCATCTCGAATGTCTGTGCCATCGGAGGACACCCATGAAATAATAATAATCTAAAAAGATAAACTCATCATTAGTCATGATTGATCCACTGCTGGATGGAGAAATCCCCAAGCCAACGCCACCTCTTACGGCAATCCACCCACCATGAGCCGATTCCATCGCTGCAACCCCCTCGACATCATCCCATCAAATCTCGAGGGGTGGCGGCCACTCTGTGGTGAATCCTGACCGTCGGCCTTTCTTGGCGACCCCGTGACCTTCTCTCCACGCTCGTCTTTATTTTCCTCCGTTCCTGGAAAAAAAATCTCCCGGCAAGTGGAACGAAACATTTGGCACATCGCGCCATCGCGTTTTGTAACCGTCGCTTGGCGCGTCCCTCTTGATGGGATGCACGCATCACACGCACATCACACGCGCATCATACGCGCATCACACACGCATCACACGCGCATCACACGCGCATCACATGCACATCACACGCACACGCGACTTTGTTCAACTATCCACAGATGCGGCAGCGGCGGCTGGCGACGACCACGACACCGAAGCGGAGGTTCTGCTGGGAGAGCGCCGAGGCGGTGAGCGTGACGGGGCGGACACACGGATCGCGGGAACTTCGCCCGCCGGTTCATCCACCGGGGATGCCGGGCGGGGCGCCGGCGGTAGCCCCCGAGGCGACGGTCCCGTCGCCGGCGATTTGGAGCACGTCCGCCCGGGAGGAGGACGCGGGGAACCTTGGGAGAACCGGTCACCGTCACCGGTGCGGGTACGTCCGTGTGTACGTTGAACCTCTTTCGCACCGCACGTAGCCAACCGCACTAACCGGAGGCATGGGGTTTGCAGGCGAGCGTTGCAGAAGCCCGAGGCGACAGAACTCCCGTGGAGAGCGCCGCCTGCGGCCCGCGGATTCCTCCCGAGGCACCCGCCGACGCTCCGGTCTTGGCGGCGAGCGGCGGTGGCGCCGCCGATGCGTCGGCACGGCTGCGGAGGCCGCAGAGGAGACCGAAGCCGAGCGTCGGGCCGTCATCGCGGCGCGCGGCCATTCGATGCGGGGGGCGGACGGGAGGAGGATCGCCGGCGGCCGACGACGGTGGAGCGGGGGCCGCGTCCGTTGGGTCTGCGCAGTCGGAGGCTGGCGAGGAGGACAAGTCGGGGAAGGAGGAAGGGGAGAAGGAGGAGGAGGGGAAGCACCCTACAAACGCACGCACGCCTGAGAAGGACGTCGCCGCTCGCCAGATCTCCATGGCAGCGCCAGCAGAATCGGCGGAGGGTTCGTGCGCCATCGGCTCCGCTGCGACGGTCGTGGAAGCGAATCGGCGGGAGGTGGGGAGAAGCGACGTTGCTCGCGGAGCCGTCGAGGCCGGAGGCGATGGCCACGGCTCCCAAAATGTCCGCGGCGACGGCGGCGGTGGCGACGACGAAGGGACAACCGCAAAACACGAAACGCGACGGCACGAAGCGCAGGGGGATGTCGCAGATTCGCAGGCAGTCGCCGAGTCTGACGACGCCTGTAGCTCAAGGCCCGGCCTGCAGGCCACCGCTGAGGCTTCTGAAGACTTTGTCCAAGGCCACTCGGGGGCGGCCTCGGGGGCGGCCTCGGGGGCGGCCTCGGGGGCGGCCTCGGGCAGCGCGGAGACGGACGCCGTCCCGACGCTCACGGCGGAAGAGGGAGGGAAGGGCGGCGGTCGCTCGCGTCCGCAGAAACCCCGGCCGAACATCACGGGGTGCAGGGCAATCGGGGCGAGAGGCCGAGGGTCGCGCCAACGGATGCCCGCCGCTGTGGGGCGGCGTCGAGGCGGCCAGGCGGCGGGCATCGGAGATTATCCGGTGGCCGCCACCCCGGGGTCGTCGTCGGACGATCGTCGCGCCGAGCCGGCCGAGGATGCCTCGCTCCGCGGCGAGATGACGGCGCCCGTCGGATTGTCCGGCGCCGGCGTCGACGCCTTTGGATCGGTCGTTGGGCTGGGAGGACCGGCGCCGCCAGACGCAGGAGAAGTTCGCGAGCCTCGGCGGGAGAGCTTCAGTGTTGCGGAAGCGCGGCGATCGGGAGGCTCGCTTGAATTTGTCACAAATGGCGGTGAGGTTCGTGATGTCTCGGGGAGTGCCGAACGAGATCGAAAACAACAACAAGGACAACAACAGCAAGGAGAACAACAACAAGTAGAACAACAACAAGTAGAACAACAACAAGGAGAACAACAACAAGGAGAACAACAACAAGTGGAACAACAAGGAGAACAACAACAAGGAGAACAACAACAAGGAGAACAACAACAAAGAGAACAACAACAAGGAGAACAACAAGGAGAACAACAACAAAGAGAACAACAACAAGGAGAACAACAACAAGGAGAACAACAACAAGGAGAACAACAAAAAGTGGAACAACAAGGAGAACAACAACAAGGAGAACAACAACAAGGAGAACAACAACAAGGAGAACAACAACAAGGAAAACAACAAGGAGAACAACAACAAAGAGAACAACAACAAGGAGAACAACAACAACAAGGAGAACAACAACAAGGAGAACAACAACAAGGAGAACAACAACAACAAGTAGAACAACAGCAAGTAGAACAACAACAAGGAGAACAACAACAAGGACAACAACAACGAGGAGAACAAGGACAACAACAACAAGGACAACAACAACGAGGAGAACAACAACAAAGAGAACAACAACAAGGAGAACAACAACAAGTAGAACAACAACGAGGAGAACAACAACAAGGAGAACAACAACAAGTGGAACAACAAGGAGAACAACAACAAGGAGAACAACAACAAGGAGAACAACAACAAAGAGAACAACAACAAGGAGAACAACAACAAAGAGAACAACAACAAGGAGAACAACAACAAGGAGAACAACAACAACAAGTAGAACAACAACAACAAGGAGAACAACAACAAGGAGAACAACAACAAGGAGAACAACAACAACAAGGAGAACAACAACAACAAGGAGAACAACAACAACAAGGAGAACAACAACAACAAGGAGAACAACAACAACAAGGAGAACAACAACAACAAGGAGAACAACAACAACAAGGAGAACAACAACAAGGAGAACAACAACAACAAGTAGAACAACAGCAAGTAGAACAACAACAAGGAGAACAACAACAAGGACAACAACAACGAGGAGAACAACAACGAGGAGAACAACAACAAGGAGAACAACAACAGCAAGTAGAACAACAACAACAACGAGGAGAACAACAAGGACAACAACAACAACGAGAACAACAACAAAGACAACAACAACAACAAGGAGAACAACGACATGACCGTGATGTCGAGACGGTGAACTCGCCCGAGCCGTGCCACTCGCCTCTCACCTCGGGGGAGCCCGCAAGCCGTGGCCACCAGCGGCAAGCCGCCACGGGATGGGAAATGCCGGGGAGCGCCGCGACGCCCGGACGCGACGAGCTCGGCATCCCGGACCCACCCGTTGCGGTAACGATTGCGGGAGCATGGGGGGGGGAAGCCGCCCACGCCGACGCCTGCGGACGGCGAAGTGTCGGCGATCTTGACGTCGCCGTGGCGACGGAGCAGGGCGGAGACGCGTCCCGAACGAGCGGCCGCGTGCCGAGCGACGCCGCGGGCGAAGCCCAGCGGTCGAGATCGCTGAGGCCCAAGCCGAACATCGGAGCGGCCGGGAGCGTGGCGACTCGCGCGGACCGACGGCTTCTACGGGAGGCCGCGGACCGCGGGGTGATCGTGGCGCAACGTCTCCGGGCTTCGTCGCACGACGCTGGGGCCGTGGGAGTGGGCGGCCAAAAGGAGCGGCCGGAGGGGACGGCGGTGGCCGCCCCCGCGGCGACGGCGGCCGTCGCGTGGGTCGTTGCCGCTGCCGAGGTCTTGCCGGACGCTTTGGAGGACGCCGGACGGAAGGCCGCGGCGGTCCGGCGCTCGGAAGCCGAGCCGGAACGCGCGGGAGACGGTCGGCGCGAGGAGGCGAGCGCCGTCGCTCCGGAACGAAGCGCCGGCGGTGGAGGCGACGGGACGTCGAGCAGCACCGGTCGCCGGGAGGCCCCGGCGGAGGCCGCGGGCGGGGCGGCGCAGTCGCGACCGAACGCCAGAGCGGCGCACGGCCGGGCCGCCCGAAGCCTGGCGAACCCCACGAAGACAGGGCAGGACGAAGCACCGTGGCGGCGCGACGTCGCCGCTCGGGAACGAGGTGAAGGCAACGGTGACGACGGTGCGACGGCCGACGTCGGCCGTCGGGAGGCGCCGGCGCCTGCCGAGGAGGCGCCAGCGTTCTTCACGCTCACGCTGCTCGAAATACCGCGGTCCATATACACGACGGGCGCGCCGCGTCGTGCCGGCGCCGGCGTGGGCGAGGCGGCAGGCGGGGCAGCGACAGCACCGGCGGGTAGAGGGGCCGACGCCGAACGCGAGGAGGAGGACGATGCAGCGGTGATTGGAGGCGGAGAGGCGGCGTCGGGGTTGGAGGCCGGGGTGCCGCGCTGCGCCGGCGACCCGAGTGAGTGTCGACCAGAGCCGCGGCAGCGCCCACGTGGGCTCACGACCGCGACGTGTGCCGCATTCACACCGCCGATTGGCACGGTCGGACACGTACGGTGTGAACGAAAGTTCTACAAGCGTACGTACATGTCCTTGCCTGGAGGACGCGCGTAGCCTTATCACTCTACAGAACAGGGCGAGAACATACAAAGTCCACGCACTCACTCCGCATAAAAGTGGGAGAGCATACAAACGGCAAGGCCACCCAACCCATATCGTTCTTGATGTTAGGCACGAGTGTTACACGTGCACCGTCCTGCCACCCTCTTCCACACGCACAGTTATGTGGCGATATCGTGCGACGTGCAGGGCATGCTGGGAGGACCGAGCCGATGTTCACAGTGGCGCTTTTTTCTCTATTTAACCCCTTGACCCCCAGCAGAGCAGGGTGCACCCCCGTGGGACTCCACGGCTCCTCCTCCTCTTACCTCGTCACCGAGGCCGGGCCGTGCAAGGTGCAGCAGCGACGATGCACGAGAGGAGGAGGAGGACGAGGAGGAAGAGCGTGGAGCCCAGTGCGGCTCCACGGAGGAGCGAGCACCCCGACTCAACCGTGAAGCCAACCCCGATGACTCTCACGCCCGACGAGGAGGGACGACTGTTGCGGCGGCGGTGGTGGTGTTGGATGAGAAGGTGGACGAGGTGGAGGAGGTGGAGGAGGTGAAGGAAGTGAAGGAGGTGGTAGAGGTGCAGGAGGTGGTGGAGGTCGTGGAGGTGGAGGTGAAGGAGGTGGAGGAGGAGGAGGTGAAGCAGGTGAAGCAGGTTGAGGAGGAGGTGGAGGTGAAGCAGGTGGAGGAGGTGAAGCAGCTGGAGGAAGAGGTGGAGGAGGTGGAGGCTGTAGCCGGGAGAAAGTCGACGCCACGCGGCGGAAAGCGCGACCGAGATGCCGCAGGACGTCCCCGGATCGGCCCCGAGGAAACCGCTGCCAGGATGCCACCACCACCGCGGCCGCCACCATCACCGCGGCCGCCACCACCACCGCGGCCACCACAGGGGGCCCTCGGGAAGAGGACGATGGCTCTGAAGAGAGGTGGCGGCGAGCCTGAGGAGGATGAGGAGGAGGCTGGGGGGGGCAGAGTCCCCGACGCGCCGGTGAAACGTCTGCGCCGCGGCCCGGGACGGCGATGCCGGGACGAGGGAGTTCCCGCCCGGCGCGGGGAAGCTGAGACCGGCGCCGGCAAGCGTGACCCCGCGGCGGCGGCGCCCGTCGCGTCCGGGCGAGAGCGGAAGAGGAGGAGCGCCGGCAGGCGAGCCGAGGGAGGGGAAGTGGAGCGGGCGAAGGGATGGCGCCGCGTGCGCCTCGGCAACTCGGCGGAGGAGACTTCACCGAGGGGCGGGAGGGCGGAAGAGGAGGACGAGGTGGAATGTCCGTTGGTAAGCGGCGACGACGGCCACGGCGGCGACGATGGGACGGCGGACGGAGAACACGTGGCCGGAACTCCTGCCGCCGCCTCGTCCGAAGCTCAGGTACTCGCGCGAGCGTTTACCCCGGAGGCCGCGGCCGTGAGGGCCATGCGACAATGACCGTGGAAACTCACACATGTGCTCACACGCGCGCTCACACGCGCGCTCACACACGCGCACCGCTGCTTTGTTTACCGTACGCCACCGGTTGGCAGGGTCGGCTACGTACGTTGCGAAAGAAGTTCAACATACCTACATATGTACGAACGTGTCGCACAAGCCCTTGTCGTTATTTTTGTCTCTCGCTCGACCTTTGCCCCCCCGCCCCGCCCCTGTCAATCAGACCTCGCGGTACAAGCCTGGGGTGCGGTCTCCCTCCAGCCCCCCGGCGCAGGGGATCGGAGCCCCCCGATTGGGGGCCTCGGGGATCGCCGGCGCCGCCAGCCCCTCCATGTCTTCCGACACCGACCCCGATGCTCTGACGACTTTCACAATCGAGGACATCTTCATGGAAGTCCAGTGACGTCCACCTGCAGAGCCGAGCGATGCGGGCTTCGCGCTCTGCATCATCATCAGCATCGTCGTCATCGTTCATCCACGGTCAATCAGCTGCTGGGTGAAGGCCACCCCAAGTGCCGCCACCGCCTCTCGCGATCCCGCGATGCGACGCGCGACGTAGCCACTCGCACGTGGGCTGATGTCATTGCCCTGTAGCTTCAATCTCTTCATCATCACCGTCATCATCGTCATTATCGTCATCATCGTCATCATCGCCACCTTCAGGTTAATATTTACATAGCGCAATACGTCTCACCTCGCTCTTGTGGGTGTCCATGCCGCCACTTTGTTTCCCCGCCGTATTTATCTCATTTGTTTGTTTATTTATTATGTATTTATTAAGAAATCGGCCTTTCAGATGGTGAAATCATCCGATCCGATGTTGGCTCTGGAATTGCGGTCCAAAGGGTGGGTCCACGACTTCACTTTGCGCCGTGAAATTGTGGGAATGTGATAACTCCGTTTTGGTGAGTTGTCACGTGTTGTGTTGTACGTTGAATTTCTTTCGCAAGGACGAACAAACAAAACGCAGAAAGCAGAGTTCACAACTCGAAACGTTGATCTTTTTTTTTCTTGCCATCGCGGTTCCTCAGGGTAGCGTCTGCAGTGATGTGTTCCGGACCGATGTTTTGAATATTGGGGCTATTAATCGTTATGGACCTCGACAATTTCCAAAATCATCGGGATTCGCCCTCAATCATGACACACCCCCTCAGTGAAGATGTCAGAAGCTAAGCAGGGCCACGTGGATTCTACACCAGGCCCTCCGGTTTCCCCCTCCACGTTTAGAATCAGCATCACACGTTTAGAGTGTTTGGCTGCTATTCATGTCCACGTGGTGATGATGATGATGATCCACTCCATTGAGCCATCGTTTGTGGGTTTTTTTTTTGTGATAGGTCGCTTCTGAGAAAGAGCTACATAGCTCAGTGGGGCCTTACCTGATCAAATAAAATGAATCAAATCAAACTATAGAGTCGTTTTCTCTTTTCAAGAGCGAGCGAATACCATGTGCGGCGGCGTATTTCAAGTTTAAATTCTAATTGTCATTATTATATCATCTGTTAAACTCCGTAGCATTTCTGATGAGACCCAGAAGGTGAAAACCTGTCCAGAAGTGTGCCTGCCAAACAAATGCTGCTGCTGCTGCTGCTGAATAACATTGGTCTAGGAAACCAAAATGCCGGTGGACTTCAAATATTCTTGTTTTATTTACACCTGGCGAGACGAGAGAACGCAACGTAGGTCAGACGACGACGCCCTTGGCGCGTTCAGGAAAGTCGGCGCCGTGGGCTCGGGGCAGGACGGGGGCGCTGGCCGATTGCTGGAAGGGGACGATGCCCTGCGGTCAAGATTTGACAGCGGAGCGACGGCCAAGGAGCGGAGCGACGCGCGACGAGGGAGTCGCCCGTTCGTCCGGGGAGACGGAGCGACGAAATCGGCTCGTCTGCACGTGCTGGGGGCAGCCGTGGTCCCACAGCGGATGATTAGCACGTGGTGCTACGCTCGCTGTCGCGCAGGACCGCGTCGGAGTCTTAAATGGCTCACTCTCGGGGTGGGGGGGGGGGGGCTCCCACGGGTTTTTTTTTATTTTGCAGGAGCTTGCCGATGTTTTTCGACCCCCGTGCGTGATCTCGCTTGGCTGCAGTTGCGGGTGACGTTTCAGCAATTGTGGGATGTTTGGCCAAGTGCCGCTGACATTTTGTGTAGACTTTTGTTTTTTTACGTAACATTATCTACGGGGAAGAAAGTGGAGAACGCAGGAGGGGGAATCTCTGCAAGAGGCGTCCGAGTCTGGTGTTGAACCCTGGGCTCTCTTGCTGCGAGGTACGAGTTTTACCACTGCCCCCTCCCCACCACACCAGTGACGTGCGGTGAGGTCAATGGCTGGGGAGGCACTGGCTCGTGTCAGAGCCAGATTCACACACTGAGGGGGTGTGTCTTCACTGAGGGGGTGTGTCTTCACTGAGGGGGCGTGTCATCACTGAGGGGGGCGTGGTCTCGCCGAGGGGGCGTGTCATCACTGAGGGGGCGTGTCTTCACTGAGGGGGCGTGTCATCACTGAGGGGGCGTGTCATCACTGAGGGGGGCGTGGTCTCGCCGAGGGGGCGTGTCATCACTGAGGGGGCGTGTCATCACTGAGGGGGGCGTGTCCTCACTGAGGGGGCGTGTCCTCACTGAGGGGGCGTGTCATCACTGAGGGGGGCGTGGTCTCGCCGAGGGGGCGTGTCCTCACTTAGGGGGCGTGGTCTCCCTGAGGGGGCGTGGCCTCACTGAGGGGCGTGTCCTCGCTGAGGGGGGCGTGTTAGAGACGTCCCCCTCAGTGAGGCAGATGTGATCGCTGCCTCCCCTAGTGATTTTTTATTTCAGTTTCATGAGACCAGCGAGCCTAAATATCTTTATACACATACGTGAATTAAGTTACCTGGAGTATGGAACGCGAGGACATGTAATTAAGAGCTCTACAAACATTACATTGGTGACATACTGAGATAGTAACAGGCACGCGCTTATTGCCCGCTCTCCATCCAGTTACTGAGGGGTTGCGCAATCAGAGGGGAGGCTGAGCTCGTCGCTGCCTCACCTCTCGTCTCTTCCTGTATTTGCAGCGGAGCTCCGCAAATTTGGCGATTTTGACTAAAAAAATGATTGGAATCGTACAGAAATAACATTTATTACACAGATCAGTGGAAAAATCACAATTTTCAGTTTCTAATGTTTTACTTATCGTAACAGCTATTTTCATTGAAGTATGACAGATGAGGCTGTGCCTCCCCTGCCTCCCCTGACCGCACGTCCCTGCACCACACACACAATGGCCGACTCTCTCCTTCGAGTGACATCGCGGATCTTTAACGTCCACCGTGATGCAGGCGGCGTGTATAATTACTATATGGTTGATACACCCGCAGTATTAACCAGGGCGTCTGTAACAAGCCTGGCTTTAACCGTGAGGTCACCGGGGTCAGAGCCAGTGCCTTAATCGGCCAATGACGGTAGCCGATTGTGACGACGTCGACGACGTTGATGTCACGTGGTGGTGGATGAACGTTTATTTACTCTAACGAACGTGTGGAACCTGTTAAGAAAGTTTGCGATTTCGCCACCGTCCCACTCTCTTGGGAAGTTTCTAGATTTGCTCCGCGGGTGACGCGGAGGGACCAACTCCTGTGCCTGGTTACGAAACGTTGCGGTGAAAACCCGGTCGGCCGCGGGGAGCCGTGCTCGTACTCGGTCCGGCCTGGTGTGATCTGGTCTGGTCCGGTCCGGCCTAGTTCAATCCAGCCCGATCCGGCCCGATCCGGCCTGGTCTGGTCCGATCCGGTCCACTCAGGTCCACTTAGGTCCGGTCCGGCCTGGTCCCGTCCGGCCCGATCCGGTCCGGTCTGGTCCGGGAGGGGGGCCAGAGAGTTCCTCGGTTAGCCGGAGATTTTGTTGCGGCCAAAAAGCTTTTGCCCCCTTTTACGGTAGTGAGATGCAGCAACAGGACACCACCACCGCCACCGCCGTGTGCCGTGTCTCGCCGAGTGAGCGAGGAGCGAGCGATCGGGCTACTCGGCTTTGTCGTCGTTGTTAATGCGCACGGAACGTCGTGGCGACGTCTTCATTAGGCCCGTGGCTATTTTTTTAGCTCGCTCGGTCGTCGCGACGTTTGTTTTCAAGATCGTCGACGGACGCTCGTTTCTTTTTTTATTTAGTGCGTTATTCTGTTCGTCGGGTTATTTATTGATTCATTTGTTCGTTATTTTGACGAGTCCGTTTTCTTCATCACGTTATTTGTTTACCCCCCACCCTCCCTCCAATTGCATGACGACCGGTGCTTGCGCCAAGTTCGGCCGTACACATTTAATAAACATCCCTCACTTTTCCCCTTGGCGTTTGTGCCACGACGATGATGATGATGACGTAATGATGCATTCGACGACGTATCGGCTGCCCGTCCACCACCACCACCACGCGTTCGTGAGGTTCATCTGGGATGGTGGGGGGTGAAGGTGAAGGCGCAGCCCCGCAATTGCCCGCTCACCTCCGCTGCTGGTGGAAGAACCTCCCGCCCCCCACTTCAACCCCCGCCCCGTAGAGGATACTATCTTGGCCTACTCTTCCACAACGGAGGTCCGGACGTCTCTGTTGTAGAGGAGAGACACTTACCAACGCCTTACCCCCCCCCCCCGGCCGCAACCGCACACTCCGAGATCTACCGCTCGACTCGCCGCCGTGGTGACATCACGCGCGTGGTGACACGTGGTGACACGTGGTGACACCACGCGCGTGGTGACACCACGCGCGTTCTGTGTCCACCGCAGCGTGGACGGAGGTTTGGGTTGGGTGCCGGGTGGGTGTGGGGGGGCGGGGGGGAAGGGGGGCATTCTTGATGAGTTCGTTTCAGCTGCATGTGAGGGCGCGGGGGGCGGAGGGGGGGCAGGGGGCGTGGGGGGGTGCAGTCGAATTGGGCCCGACCGTTGAATCGCGAGGTGCCCGGTGCGCTTCGAAGCCACGTGACGCCCAAACGGGGCAGCACCCAAAGCCACTGGCCTCAACAGCCAATCCGCAACAATCAAACAATAGTTGTAACACCTCCTCGTCGTAGTGGTGGGAGGCGGAGGCTTTTGTCACCAAGATTATCCATCATCGAGGGGGGTGTTTTTTGGGGGGGGGAGGTGGATGTTTAGATCGCGTAAATATAAATGTGTCGTTCAACCTGCCACCACCCGACACGGCCAATTAGTAAGGTTTGTCGCGCCTGGTTACGAAACGTTGCGGTGAAAACCCAAAACATTCCAATCAGTAACTAATTGGCAATGCTAACTAATTGCCATGCTAATTAGTTACTAATTTAGTTACTAATAATTGGCACGTTTTGTTCACGTGACAAACCCTTAGTAATTGGCTGTGTCGGGTGGCGGCGGGCTTAACGACACATTAATCTTCACGTGATCCAACCCAACAAATAAACTCCTATTGTAAACAATAATAATAATGATGATCACCACAATCCATGGATGTGCGCGCCCTCCCGCGTTGTGCGTCCGTGCGCAAAATACTCAATAAATAAAGAGCGGCCTCCGCTAATGAACCAAGAAGCGGCGCTCTTATTTAACAAGATCTCCTGCCGCGCAAATCGATAAATTACCATGTGCACCCCCTCCCCCTGCCCCCCCAGAATAGCCGAGCTAAACACGGGGGGGGGGAGAGTGCAGTACCGGAT